TTAGAAATACAGAAAACTCTCACTAATTCAGACTGATTAGAAGGCCTGAATGAACCTGACACTGACTCCTGCCAAAGGAACGCCTCGTGCTCGCCTGGGCTGCCTCCTGTGACTCAGTGCCAGGTAGCAGGCACTCTGACTCAGGGACAAGCGGAAGGCCTCCCATCCTAGGGCACGCATGCAGGTGAGCGCGTCTCACAGGCCGAGAGTGGGCCTTGCCCTTGTCTCCAAACACGTGTTCAAGGCACGTATGTGGCACTCTGTATGAGGCCCCTTTTCAGAGACAGAGCTGGGAAAATTCAGCTCAGTCTTACTGAATTATTAGAAATGCCAGGTGAGCGGTGTCTAAATAAAATGTTTTGCCGCAAGTGACACTGACTCTAAGATCCCTAAAAACTATTTTGTTTCTCTTGTGAAATACTTTTTATTGCGGAAATGCTCTGACATGTACATAAGTAGAGAGATCTGATCACGGACCCCTGAAGTATGGACTCTTAAGGAAAAACAGCCACTTAGCCATGCTAAAAGGCGGCCACCGACTGGGGACATGCTCTGCCAGTCCCGGGGGGGGAAGGACCTGACCGGATGGGGGTCCCAACGCTCCCCGCGCAGCCTGCCCAGGCTTTCGCTTGCCTGCTCGTGTCTTCTTAGAGTGGATGGGGCTGTCCTGACACATCCGTGTAGACTCCACAGACTAACCAGAGCTGAAAGGCTTGTCCCTAAGTCGAGGTCCTGCTCGTAGGGCCTGTCCGCTAGCACAGCCCGGGAACAGGACGCCCATGACTGAGACAGAAAAGGCATAAACACGACCAGACAAAAAGCTAATCAAGTACCTGCATGTTAAAGACTTCATCAGAGCTTTCTGATTGCCCTGTAATATTGCTTACTTCGGCAGACGCTTGGGAGGACAATGAGGAGGAAGAATACCGGTTGACAGCTGGGTAACTTAACGGGCTGTGTCGGGGGAAAAAAGGGCCGTTAGCGCAGTCTCTGAATTGCACTTTTATCACACGCTGGCTTGGTATAAACCAAAGAGAAAAAAAAAATCATCCATCCCATTTTGTTGTCTCCTGTTTGCCTCAATATCATCAAAAGTGTGAGTTTATTTATTTGTCATGCTGTCGCTATTTCAGCGGTGGCAGATGTCCGCTGCTGCCTCGCGGGTTAGTTATTTCATTAAGAAATAGCGGATTTGACAAACTGTGCCGTAAAGAATGAGGGATTCATTCCGGATCACCTTGTGGGGATGCCAAATTGTAAGGTAATTAAGAATATGACTTACCTGCGTCTAGGAATTACCCGGGTACCATCTGGGCTCATAGAAGCAGGTGCTGAGTTTCTGCACACGCGAGGGCTTCCATTTGGAAAATGGACTGGACTGGCTTGTATACAAGCAGAGAACTCCTGGGGAGGCAATAAAGAAAACACTTTACTATATGAGATGTTTTACTGTATTAGATATACATTCTGAATGTCATGAAATCTTCACACAGGGCCATTAAGGGAAGTTTCGGTATTACCTCTCACTTCCTCTTTCGTGTTTATAAACGCTGAGCATGGCCGAGAGAAGATAATGCAATTTTAATATCTGAGGGCTCCTTGGTAAAACGGTGCAGTTTGGTGGAAAAACCAAAAGATATCACTACTGAACACTCCATCATGTCTCCAACAAACAAACAAGGGCAGCGGTCAGAGGGCCCGTCGTGGTCCCTTTGCGCACGTACCTGTATCCCTAAGCTCGACTTCATCACGAAGAACTGGTCGACCAACTTTTTGTGAAGGGGTCTCATGTCTTGGGGTACGAACTTCTCGTGCACGGCCAAACCAAATTCCAAAATCTGTGCCTTGGTAATAAAACGACGAAGAAATCCACATGAGTGAGTAACGCCAGTCAGTGCCTGCTAGAGGTCAAGCACTGTGACCACGCACTTGGCATGCATTACTACGAAATCCGACAAGGATTAAAAAAAAAATCCTTAATTTTACAGGTGAGGACTTTCCGGATCGGCCAACTCCTCCATGTGCTAAGATGCCCATGAGGATTTGGACTGAGGTCTGTCTGATTCCTAAGACGGGTATCTCCCACTACCCCAAGTTTCTTTCCCGTCTACTTTAGATCTGTAATAACAACCCTTTTGAGCAGCTGTGTGCTCCTTTGGCCCTGACGGGGCAGGCAGGGCTCCCTGTGAATAGGTCGGCTGCTTCCGCCAGAGGGATCTCTTTTCCGGAGAGTACCCCCTTTTCCATATTACCATTCTCTCTTCTATCAGGTTCTTCTGTGCCCATCCATCCCTCCCCCAGATTTTCAAAATCTGTCAAGGAGGAAGTAAAAAATAAACAGGAATTCTACAATAGTTGCTATGCTTCTCGCTTTTGTTCAAAAATATTATTCTTGTTCACTTATTATAATGCAGCAAGGAACTGCTCCTAATTTAAAACAAGGTTTCCTGCTGTGAGGACCCAAAAGAGGTGACCAGACATTCACGTTTCCTTTATTCAACCCTCAGTAGTGCTTAATTCCTTTGATTTGAGTAGCAATGATCTTTTACATTTTAAAAACTGCCCCATGCTAAAGTGGTCAAAAGAACCAATTTCATAGTCTGGCAGGAAAGCGAGTCACACATTACCACAACCACCCTTTGTCTTTAGAGCTTGTAAAGATGCAGTATTGAAAGCTCAGGTCACACAGGGCTGGCCCTGGTGGGTTAGAGCATCCCGAATCTCTCCTAAGGGAATAGAACGGTGGCAACTCTCGCCCACCACCAACACATTTGCATGAAGTTAAAAATACCTTGAAATAAACATCAAGGACACCTTTGAAGGAATAGTGAGAGTGGAGTGCGTCTCAGGCATAAAGGGAGACTCTGATGAAGGGGTGGGAGGGATGGAGGACACCCCTAAGTGTAGGAGCTACCGATTAAACACTTGCTATCAGGCAGCTTCCCTTTTGTAGGCTGGGTTCTCCTGGAAGTAGATTCTCACATGGAGATTTGGGTGTTTACTAGGGAGTACCCTCAGGATCCCGCCTGTGGGGGCGAGGGGCAGAAGCAAGACTTGACGGAAAGAGTTGAGCTTCGAGGCTCTGGCCCTTTCAGGGTCTGTGAGTACTGTGCTGTGTTAGGTCCCAAGGGCCAGTCTCCTCCTAGTCACTGTGGCCACACGGGAAGGACCAGCGGGGCAGTGCATCTCCGTATCTGCGAGAGGTTTTATCGGAACCACCTCACAGAGGCCCAGAGAGGGCGGGGCCCTCGCCAGCCCAACCCCCTACTACTACGGTCCCACAAAGATGATGTGACTCACCAAGGTCACATGGCAGTCACTGGGACCGCTTGACAGGGAGCTCACGTTTTCTAGGCTGTGGCTGTTTCCATAAGGCCCGACGGTCACAGTCAGGCAGAGTATGGAGGACACAAAGGAGCCCTGATCTGTTTGCTTTAAGAGGCTTCTTGGCCCCTTTAATTGTAATTCTGGGAAAGAATTCAGTCCGGCTGGATACAGCTGGTAAAAGTGGGGTGAGGAAAACCGCTCCTAAGACACCGTGCTCCGGCTAAATACAGACTTTCAAAATCAACAAAGGCCAAAGTCACTCCATAACCCTAAGGATTGGGCAACCTGAACTGTTCACTTCTAGCACCCCGTCACCCCCAGGGCCACACGAGAACTTAGCCTTTTCTCTGTTTCCTTGCAGGTCAATTTCAAGTAACTCCTTTCTCTTTTCTAGAAGTTCTCCCCACAGGGCCCTTGTCCACGGCCATGCCTCCCCTTGCCACCCTCGTATTGAGATCTGTGGACTAAGCCCATGGAGCCAAAAAGATGCACTAAAACCAGGCAGAACCTTATCATGTTCTAATCAAAAAGGGCATGCTTTATTTGTTTACTACTTTGGTACTACCAATTGGGAAGAGATGCTTTTGTCATATTTTATCATGCATATTCCATATTCCACGGGTATAAAATATCTGTATTTCCTATTTAACTCGGCCTTCCACCCATCATTTTGCCTATTTCAGAGGTTTTCAAACCATTTTCAGGCCAAGAGCTGTCAACAGGGATGCAAAAGGCAACAGGTGACTCCCTCCAATTCTTTGTACTTGACAGAACCAAATTAATAAAAATAAACTATGCTTCTTTGGAGTAGAAATGATGAGGTTGTATCTACTTTTGTCCGTATCATATCGCCAGTAGCCTTAGTCTGCAAAACAGGGGACTGTTTTAAAGTCTGTTGCTTGTCCACTTCCTTATTATAACATATAAGTAAGAAACTCATTTATTCATTCACTCAGTCATTTATCTAGTCACTTATTTTGAGTTGGACTGAACTTATTTGAGCCCAAAGTTTTGAGTGAATAGTCAGCATCAAGCCTACAGCAAACCTTTAAGGAAAAAAACATTTAAAGAACTTTCCAAGGGACTCCGTGAGGCTTTTTGTTACAAGGGGCTACTTATTGTTAAAATTAATTTTTGCATCAAAGTGGGAAGAAAAAGCAGGAATTAGCAAGTTGGGATCTATTACACGTGAATCTGGAACCCCTTACTGCCAGCTCCTGTTAAACCACCAATGCAGAAAACCATGCAGGTGGGTGTCTGGGTAAGCACACATGTACCCACGCAGGGGAGAGAGAAGCGGCTTGACCTCTGCCCCTTACCTGCTCAAGCATCAACTCCCTTAACCGTGCAATTTTCTCTCCATCTTCAGGGTGACTTAGGATATATTCCTTGACAAAGAATGCCTAGTAACAGAAGGAATAATCAGTTTACTTCAGGAGAGTGATGAAGGAAGTGAAAGACAGTTATTTTTAGACACCTAGCATCTTTAAAGAATTGACACCACTGTAAACCACGTTTGGGAGGCGGATGGAGTGATTCCCAGTGTGGGTGGCTAGTCAGAATGGGAATGTAAGGGCAGGACTGTTCAAGGAAGATCAGAGGCTATATAATAAGGATCTTTGGTAAAACAAATAGCAAGTTCAAATGAATAAGCTTTATGACATTATATACTTAAATACATTGCTCTGAGAGTCATAGGACCAAGACGGTAAACTCAGCTTCCAAGCTATCATGCCTGTCTGTTTAAAACGAAGAGTACAGATAAAAATTCCCCTTAAAGTATCTTCCAAACAAGATGAGACTTTTTGTTCACTTTGCTCAGGGAGATGGTTTTAGGTAGACATTAGGTAAACAATCCTAATACCTTCACTACTTTCACTCATCAAGCGCACATGCACGCACACGTGCGCGCGCGCGTGCACACACGCACACACACACACACACACACACACACACCTTTTTTTATCCTCCAAATATCACGTACTGGGAAATGGAGTAAATATGCATCACAAATGACTATATGTTTGCTCTAGTTAACGAAGAACTCTTATCATGTGGATGTGTGTACACATTTTGAAAAAAGATTTCTGGAACCCTGAGAAATCACACCCGAAAACTTTCAGACAGCAATCCCTAGTCCTTACCTCTTGATACCTGGACACGCCACCGTTAACCGCAGCATCTATAACTCCATTCAGGCACATGGTCAGGGGGTTAATATTCTGCATCTGTCTGGTCTGACACTGACTAATCAGCGTCTTCAGCTGCTGATTCTTATTTTCCAACACTTCAATGGCATTTTCCAGAGGACTCATTTCTACCTGAAAAGCAAATGAGCGTAAACACGTATTGGATTTTGTGGCAAGCAGATCATCCCTGTTCTGAACGATCTGTGCCCTCCCCTGGCTCCCATTAATATCTCTACCAGCGGCCAACAAAACAGACAGGACGGAGAAGACAAACCAGCTGTTCATTAGCAAGGTCTAGAAATGATTCTATTCATTGGTTGAAAGTATATATTAGCACTGCAACAATCTTTTTTTTTAAATTGCTATTATTATTACTAATACTACTTCTACATCATATGCAGGTTCAGGAAATTGAACTGTACATTCTAAGGCAACAATCAATTTAATCCTTAAAAGAAAATCCAAGCCTCTCGTGTCTTTTAAAACTTGTTTTTCTTCTCTTTTGAAGGGCTAAATATTCACGGGGCTTGCCTATTATCATCACTTTTCTAGATGCTTAATGCAAAGCACCACGGGAGACACAAAGATGCATTTCCAGATCCTCTGATGTCAAGGAGCTTCCAGCCCATTTGGGAAGATGGGACACACACTCATATGGACCACATATGCATATGACAGCACCATAAGGTGGCACAGCATGGCACACAGTTGGGAGTTATAGAAAATATGATAATCATATATGCTGCGGGGTCTATTTGTTGAAGGCGAGCCAAATAGAATCATAATGACTCCACAATTCCAGGTTATATGGGAGGCCTAATTGTGAAAATGATGAACATACTCTTCCGTTGTGCAGCATTATGATGGTTACCGTCACTGACATTCTCTTTAAAGAGAAGGTCGGCCAAGCTCTCAGCTGCAAACTAATTCAAACTTGCGATAAATGCATTTATTTATATGTTGGTTCTTTCAGTTAAGGAAACAAACTCGAGTTTTTACAGGTGACTTGAGATGATCTTAAACCAACACTGAAAAGCACTAGAATAATTTGACTAAGTCAGAATTAAGAATGTGCATTCGTCAAAAGACACTATAAAGAGAAGGAGAGCTTTGACAGGAAGTAGGAGAAGATACTTGTAACATGTCAAACCAGCAAAGAGCCTAACACCAGACTATATAAGAACTCTTACAAACCAACAAGAAAAAGGAAAACAGCCTGCTAAAAATGGGGAAAAGACTGAAATAGCTACATTGCAAAGGAAGAAATCCAAATAGCCAGTAAACATATGAAAAGGTGATCATTTGTGATCAGAGAAGTAAAAAAATAACACCATACTAATATTCTACTAACCACTCTCCACAATGACAAAAATAAATATGACACTACAAACGAGAGTGAGAATGGGAACAACAGTGTCTTTCAAGTCCTGCTGTTGGAAGTTCAAGTTGGTTCAATCATTGTGGAAAACAGTCCAGCATTATATGCTAAAGTTGAAGATGTAGTTTATGATCCTGCCATTGTACTCCTATGCATATATCCGAGGAAAAGTGGAGTAAGAGATGTGCGCATGTGTGTACAAGGAAACGTGTTCATAATTGTCTCCAAAATCCACGCTCCTTTTCATTAGCGGTGTGCATGTGCATAATATTTCCACGGTCAGGACCACTGGAGAGACGTCACAGAACTGAAGGCCCTGGGTAGTGCACAGCGGAAAGGCTTCCTGGATCATCAGTGCAGCAGGATGGCTGAGAACATTTCGGTGGGCTGGGCCCATGCCGCTCAGCAGGAGGCACAACAGTGGGACTCTCTGAGCGCTGTGTTTACCAGCCTCTCTTCTTGGAAAGCACCTGGGCGTATCTTGTGAGCAACCAGCCTGGGGGCCCTCGACTCAGACCCTACGAGAATACAAGTGCATTGAGGCAATCTGAGGAGTTCGATTTGTTTAGGGAGCCGGATGCATTTTTTGGCACTGCAAAATGAAAATGCCATAAAATCCTTAGCTTAACTGAACGTGGTACGCTGAGGTTTCCATGCTTACAGACATCTCAGGTAGGACAAGCCATTCTTGGAAGACAGTCTGGATAGGAGCTGTTCTTCCTTATTCATTGACAGGGTGGGCTTATTACCCAAACAAGGGAGAGGTTAAATTATATTTTCACGATGGCTCCATGTTCTACCAGCTAGAGGACTGCGGCCATCACAGGGCGGCCATCTTCAGCCCCTGTGCAGGGAAGAAGGGCGGCCTGAGGTTGCAGGGCTGTGGCTGGCATCAAGGTGCTGTCAGCTTGAAGAGCAGCATGGGCAGCACGGTGGGGTCTGACCTTGGGGTGTCTGCCTTCAACAACTGCTCTCCCTGGTCCCCACAGCTGGGGATGGCGCTGGGGGCATGTCATGCAACCTGAAGAGTTTTTGGTGCTGGGTTTTCAGGTTCTCTAATGATACCCATCGGTTTCCAGCAGCTGTTCATCCAGGGCCGGCAGACACATCAGCCTCCCATCTGCTGTGGACTCTAGCAGCACAGACCTGCTGTGCGTCAGATGCTGTGCTCGGCCTTCACACTCGCCTCACAAGGAAACCGAGGCCAGAAGAGAGGTGCATAGCTGGTTTCGAAGTCAGAAAAATCTAGATTCTAGGCTGTCCTTTTTCCAGATCTTGCTGTGGGCCCTCTGGCAAAGCTTTTCACCTCTCGTCGAAACTTGTGAAAAGAGGGCTGTGAATCCATCCATACCACGTGGCTTTGATGTACTGATTAAAAAGGATGCTGTAGGTAGCCTCCTGAGTACTGGCCCGGCGCACCGTGAGCACAGACGGTCCCATGGCTAGAACAGTGAGGAGGGCTGGAATCAGTTCTTTCCACTCAAGGGCCCCGGCTATATGTGCCACAGTCCTGCTCATTTGGGAAGACACCCCCGGGCTGGCTGCACCGGGGCGACAGGAATGTCCTCCTTCCAGCCTCGGTCACAACAGCCAATGTCTAAACATTCACTAACTTACTCTGAGTGTTCCCAGGGACTTCGAGTCAAAAGAAGGAGCAACTAACACAGGTCACGACTGCAGGTAAGCAATTGTGATGCACAAGCCTTGAGAGCAAGTCTTGGTCCTTACCACTTCTCGCTTCTCCACCTCGAACCAGCGGGAAATCCCAGGCAAACTCTGCACCAGGTATAAGGACGTTCTCTCCACCCAGAGGCTCTACGAAACACAGAAAAAATTAGGTCCCCACGTTGCCCTTCTTTCTAGTTACTGAGCTATGACAAATGTTTGCCCCTCAGTTTCATCAGGTTTTGCTGATTCCTGTTGGCGTTTTCCTAGCGTTCATTCTAGCCCTTCTGTAACGGTAATCGCTTCACCCTCATGAAACTATCACAGTAAGAAGTTGCTGGAACTTTATTAATCATGCCATTGCATGTTGTCTGAAGCTTTCTTCTGTGCAGAACAAATGATCCCCTCCTTCAGATACCAAGCTTAAAAATACAAAAATAGGCCATCAAGTGTTTTCTGTGCTATTTCTCTAAAATTCTAATTTAAACTCTCTTTACTCCTCAAGGTCTAGCCATTTTTATCTGGAAGGGAGAACAGTATCAGCCAGTCAACACAGGATTAGAATCACAACATCTTGAAGGAGCAAAAGGCTTTAAGGATCACGTAGCTCGATTTTTCTATTTTAAAGATGAAGACTCAAATGGGCCTTGTGACCTGCTCAAAGGTACATTCGAGCTACCTGTGAGACGGCACAGCACCCACTCACTAGAACTGCTTTCCCAGTGCTATGCCCACTGTGCCACCTTTTCTCGTGCTGACAGGAACTGCCACCATGCAGGCAGATCTGTATTTCAAAGCTGGGACTCCAGCTGGCCAGCACGAGCACCCCCATGACACGGGACACCATGGCTGCCTTTGGGAAGAGCTGATGTTGATGGTTCTTTTTTGTCAACTAGGCTTCTGTACCTATGCCTCACGTATCTTATTTAAAGAAGATAGTTCACAGACTTTTTAACATTCCTGAAATAGTGCCATTTATTCAACAGCAACGACAACAAAAAATGGAAGGATTTCTTTGTGCCAGTCAAGAGAGGCTGAAATGAACAGGGCCGAGTCCCTGTGACAGGAGCTGAAGTGTCCTGGTGGTGACAGGGAGGTAAGCAGACAGAGGAGGGCTCGGGGCAGAGAGAAAGGAAAGCTGGAGGTGCTGAGAGAAAACAGAGGAGGAAGCAGGCACACATGCCATCTTGTGGGAGGACAGCTTCTCAGAGGCAGTGACACGTGAGCGGAATTGTGAGGAGGGAGTAGGAGTTGGGGTGCGGGCAGCACTGCAGGCAGCAGGGAGCAGAGGCACAGGTGCCAGCGGCTTCTGAAAGGGCATGGCAGGAGGTTGTGATGATGAGGCTTCTGGAGGGCAGGATGCACAGGAATGTGGAGCTCCACTTATTGTTTTTAGGGGGCTCGCTGTACCACTGACACACAGTTAAAGTGGTGGCAACAAGAAAATGTGGTGCAACGGAAAAAGCAACAGAGAAGGTGTGAGAAGGTGCGGGTTCTAGGCCTGTGTCTACTCCAAGCAAGTCGGTGGCCTGACCCTAGCGGACCTCTGACTTGCTGTTCTCTGCAAGCACTCGCCATCACAGCCACATCATATACTAACGGTCTTTAACTGGTTTAGGAGGACAGGAAGAAAAATATAAGTACCCCGAAGAACGAGAAACAATCACAGATCTTTTCAGTTACATCCCAGTGCTGTTTTTCCAATGGTCCCCCAGCCTTGATATTTAACCCATCCATCTCCTTGCACAAAGGACGGGTCTTTGATCAGTCCCATCATAACACTACAAAACTCCCACACTTCCCCTTGCAGAGACTCTCTGTGACAAAAGAAGCTAAGCCAACGAACCCACAGTGAGAAAATGGGCTTGCTTTCTCTGCTTGGGGGCAGGAAACACTGATGACCTGGGGCTCTATCAGGTCTCACTATGTGGCTGCTGTCAAGGACAGAGCAGATGATGATTTACCTGTGCAACAACCTTGCCTCCTTCCCCGCAGCGGGGCTGGGAGAGATCAGATCCCTTTCTGGCCCCGGGAGCTCTGAATTTGCAGCCATAGTGGAACTCATGAGAACAGAGAACTCAACATAGGCAAAGGGTCTTTTACTCTGGGTCCTCTCAGAAATCCTAATGACACATCGTTCTGACAAGAAAAAGCAGCTGGAGATAGCACAGAACCTCCCCACTGTACCCGCAAGTCTACCAGCCAGTCTCTGCCTCAGAAACCCTCTTTCACCTTCCTTAAGTATTCTTTACTCATCACACTCGACTGTCTCTGAGAAGAAATATTCTGAGCTTCCCCAGTTGGTTCACCATGAATGAATAAGAGGACTGAGCTCACCCAGATCTGAGAGGCTGGTCTGAGGGCCACTGGCATTACAATTGTCACCAAAAAAGCTGATTTCAGGGCCAGCTCTCAGACCTGCTGAGTTAGAGTTCCTGGGCTGGGGGAGGGGGAAATCGTCTCAGTTAGAAAGCACCCATGTCACCCTGATTCCCAGCAGACTAAATGATTTCTGGTCCCTCCTGGTTGTCACTTGACTTTATGCTGAGTAAATATTAACCCAGGATCTTACCCCAAGGAGCTCCCCAATGTAGTAAGAACTGCACGGTACCTTGAATTCATTTTCTTTGTCCTTTGTGCCTTTGTGAAATGGTCTGTCATAACGGAATTTCCAAATATGGTTCACTTTATAGAAGCTCTTGATGTTGTCCGGAACGCCCTCTCTCTGCAGGACCTCCTGGCTCTCTGGGATGGGGGTCACAGCGTATATCTGCAAATCTGGTAAGAACGAGTCAAGGACGAAACTCCACTGGGCAAACCCCACAGAAGTCGGGCTTGAGCTGGGCCGGGGCAGAGAGAAGAGGGTGGGTGACAATCTGGTGTTCCTATTGGGGAGGAGGTGATTTAAGAAATTCCCAAGAAAGTACCCAGTCCTCAGTTCATAGCAAATCACTTCGCAAACTGTAGGCCTTGAGTTAGTTTTAGGCTGGGGATTCTGAAAAAAGCATCAGTTTGAAATTTCTATGACTCTTAAATTTATTTATCACTGATTTTTTTGGGGGGTGGGAATGGCTTGGGCCTGAGGTACCTAGAACTGTATTATTTCTAACCCTGTATCTTTAGTCCATGCATGAGATGCACTTATCTTTAGTCTATGCATGGCCCTTTTTAAATTTCTTTGTGCAATAATGTATAAATACCCTTGCAATCATGGCCAAAGACACAAGCCAGCACTGAGAGTGACTTACATGTACCTCTGTGATCCTCCAGGTCGGCTGTCCCCCCCACATTGGTGGTACCCACGTTCCCATATCTTGCCCTGATGAGAAAAGTGTTCAGTTGTAGCTGATACTTTAAAAAATTGCCTATGATTGTATATTTATTGCCTTCTCATTCAAAGAAGGATAGCAAAGTATTTTTCCTGACATAATTCCTTGCTTCTGTTGCATTCTAGTTTCTACTTTGAAATGGCATCCATAATTGTCAGTGGGAGGTCCTGGTCTTCCTTAAGATCCTCAGGTTCAGGAAGAGACAGAGAGACCCAGAAAGGAGTCCCGGGGTGAATTCCCTTTGTCACTAATGCCTATGTCATTTCAGTTGCGTTGTTTGCATTTAGACAACGGAAGTGTCAATTATAGAGTTATGTGTATAAAAGGCTGTCCTGGATGCCTTGGCTAAGAGTCCCCCAAAAGATACTGAGGTGCCTCTTTCTCTTCCCTTCCTCATTCCAGAATAAAAGTGTCCAGGGAAAAGGGGGTGAATGCTATGTGCCAGTAAACATAAGGCTATTATTTCCTTGAACTAATGTAGTTTCCATAGGACATGCTAGAGGAAAAATTATTCTACAGGGAATCTAAAAAGGGCTTCAAAGGCAGGGTTGAGATACAGAAAAGGTGTCACGAAAAGAAAACAAATTAACAGAATCTTGAAGAGATTTCTTTCCAGCGGGTCTCACGATAATAAATAGCACAATTCTGCTCAGAAGGAGCTAAGCTAAAATAAGACGATGAGAAGAAGGGAGTAAGAGCGTAGCAGCTGAAAAGGGGCCAGTGGCCAAGCAACCCTGCACGAGAATTCTACGCCACCCGCCGCCAGGTGGCGCTCGCGGGAAGCCAGCCTGCTGCTGTGGATACACTGAGCTTCCGCCTGGAAGATGGTCTCGTCGGGCTGGTTGGCGTGCTGCATGGCAATGGCGTGGGGGAACTCGCCCAGCATCCTCTGCTGGAAGGCCTCCAGCCTCTCGTAGTCATGCCCTCGACACACGAACTCCTTGTTCTGAAATGAAAACAGGAGACAGGACTACGTAACCGAGTGCATTGATTCCAGAGAGAAGTCACCAAACAGGACACTGGCAGTAACTGAGCACACGCCTCCCAGCAATAGACTATAACCACCACCAACAAAAATACGCTGGAACAGTCTGAAAACTGTGCCCAAATATTAAACCTGCAGGACAAAGACCACGAGCTTCATTATCACTGCCAATAAACCCCAGTAGCACACCTCGGTCCTCCCAGCTCACCTGCATGAGATGCTGAGAGGCACCTGACTCTCAAAGCACCGAGTACAAAACAGTATTCGTGTTCCTGCCCAGTGTTAGCGAGTACATGTGATAAAGATTATTTTCATGAACCAGATACCAAACTTATGTGGAGAAACTCACAGTGTCGAGGAAAAGAAAGTAAATGAAACCTCTAAAAATGCATGTCACTGCATTCTTTTTTTTTAAAGGCCCCAGAGATCAACCTTAACTTTCATAAATTCCATCCTTCCACAGAAAGGAAGCCTGGGCCTACTGCGTGCCCGCTCTCCCTGCCGTTAACCAGCTCAGCTCAGCTCAGCTAAGATTTAGGATTTTTAGGGCTTGCTAAATGTTGGGCATAGTTTTGTCTGTCTTTTTGTTTTGTTTTACAGTAGACTGAAGTATTCTGTGGGATTGGACTGTCTCTCATCAGCTAAGGCCAGTGAAGGTTATCCTTGAGGTAGCCTAGAGAGCTGGAGGGATGGGGAGGGTTCCAAAACGCACCTTCATGACTGGGTGAGATATGAAGGAACTCTTTCTGACAGTTTAATGATAATGAAATTGCAATTATTGAGTGTAGTTGTTGACTAGGCACTCTGCACATATCTTATTTAACCCCGAATAGAACATATACACATATAGTGAAAAAAAAATCTAACTAGTATAGGGCAGACAATGAAATGTAAATCTCTTTCCTATCCTTGACCTTAGTCACCCTTCCCACAGAAATCATTCTTCAGAGACATCATAAGTATGTAAAACATTGTCAATAAAGAAGCCATTTTCCATGAGGGTAAAAAAACTACGTAGATCATACAATTATATAAATGCATTCGTTTATTCGAGCTTTAAAAACTATCTTGAAATGGATCTAATAAAAGGAACATTTTAATGGTGACTATATTTTTAAATCGAGGAACAGACTGGACTCTGATTTCCTAATAATAGGTCTAGCCCCATGATTCTGAAGGGTGCAGTGCCCTGTGGAAACCAATAGAGGGTGACCCTTCCCTTTCATTGCGAAAGAACTACCATTTATATCTGGAAAATCTATTTTTAAAAAGGGCTGATGTAGAGATTGGTTTATTGTAAGTGACTTTTTAACAAAATTTATTAAATGCAGTTTTCAAATTCACTAAATTCTCTTTAAACTTATGGCTCTAAAATGACTTCATTTTTTAAAAATTTTATACTTTAAATTACATTAATTGCATATGCTAGACAGATGCCTGGGGTACCTGTGCTCGCTGAATTCAGAATTTGATCAGGGCCTCATTATGAATTTTGTGGGCCCCTTCTGCCACAAAAATATTAAAAACCATATTGTAAGGCTGATTTGGTATAAAGACAAGTACATCAATATTCTCTAATGTATAATATACAATATGATGTATAATAACTTGTTTTAACCTTAAAGTTCACTTTTTTCCTTCTGACTTTTAAAAGAAATTAAAAGAGATTCATGGGCCATCTAGAAACATTAGGGTCTCTGTGCATAATGGATCCATTAGCCCGAAGCACAAGATGGAAGAAAACGGAATCTTTTACTTTGCATGATTCTGAGCCAACAGAGGAGTGGGTCTGCTGTGGCAGGGTCACATCTGAACCCTCCCGTGGGGTCTCCAATGGGGTGTCCAATCAGCACAGCACGAGCAGGCCTCTCCCTCCACTCAGGACCTGGCCACGGGCCATGCGCACTGAAGGAGTTGCTGATGAGAGTCCAGGCCGAGCATGTCCACTTTCAAAGCTAAGTCTTTAAATTCAGCAAGTGTTCTGAATATGCCAGTGCTCTGACCCAGCACCTGGCTTCTCTCTACCTGTAGTCAGGCCCATCTTCAGGGGTAGCTTTGTGACCTCGCACACAATATCATGAGGGCTCTCTTTTACCCCAACAAGGAGATTTTACTCATGTCTGAGTGGCACCCAAATGCACGGTCACTTCAATCAATTAAAGATGGCATCAACCTATCATTTGAGTGTTTGTTCCATGTGACACTAAAATGAATCTTTGTCTGTGGTGTTTGGATATTTGAGAATATAGATCTGTCTGAACCTGAAGAAAGGGGGGATAAAACCTTTGGTTCAGGGACACAGAATATTAAACCTGTTGAGCTCTTGGGTACTAAGACCTTTCATTCCGAAAGGCAGATACGTTAATGATTATTAAACAAACAACTAAGTCAAATCTTCTTCCTCTCCCTTCTCCTTCAAGTACCCCCAACCTAAATCTATTCATACGTGCTAATAGTTAAAGCAAGATTTAGGGCAACGCAAATAGCGCAACATTTGTACACTGAGATTTAAAGTTTGTAATGAATTCACTTAATTTCAAAAACTATCCAGACATGTTTTCTCAGTTGCTTGGGGAGGTACATTTCCTCTCCCAACCAACATTTTTGTAGAAGATGTTACATATTGAAGTGTTTGGTAAACATGAAGCATGTAAGACACCACCACTTGGCACGATGTGAAAAACGGGGACAATGGAGTCAAATGTTTCACCATCCAGTAAGTACCTTAGAATGTCTGGAAATTTTCCCTCTGTACCGCGAGTTTACACCACGAATAAGTTGGATCCCACTGCTGAGTGACATTTACCCCTTCACAGTCATCAACTAGGCCAAACAACACTCTTCACATGATTCTGGGGGTAGATTTCCACACGGTGTGAAACTGCAATGCTGTCTAGAGTCTGCAACCCCCGGTCCCTCCGAAGCCCCACCATTTTCCTGTAATGCTAACTCTGAAAATGGCAGACTGAATAGAATAGCGATGATCACTCACACAAAGGAAACAGCTCTAATTATCAAAGATTGCTCCTTGATATAAACTTCGAAACTTAGGAAGGAAACAATCAAAAGATTGTTTGGTATCTTGGAAAATTATTCAAAACAAGGCATTCTAGATAAGTATGGTGTTTTCAAACTAAAAAGTGAAAAGAACATCTCATGATATTATCACCTGTCTGAAAAGGATAACACATCATTAATGTCTTAGCTTTTTTGATTGTGATATCTATATTGGAAATCTGAAAGCAAATTAGGTAACACATTACTTACTCTTAAGAAAAATGGAAATTTTTTCCCATAAAATCCAACTCTGAAGAACTCTGGTTCAAGACGTTGCTGGTCCATAATTTTGTCATACAAAGAGGCTTCCATCATCTAGGAAAGCACAAGAGAAATTCTAATCACTTCATCTCATCTTTCAGCTCTACCAATTTCTAGGAGAGAACATTTCTTTTATATCAAGGAGAACTTCATTTTAGTTCAGTTTGCTGAAAAGAAGGTCGGACTCCCTTTCTGTGCTTTAAGGCGGGGAATCAGCAAAACTAGTCTGTAAACAGCCAGGGAGAAAATATTTCAGGCTAGGTGAGCTATCCAGTCTCTGCCACAACTGCTCCATTCTGTGAGGCCCACAGGCTGTTTGCTGATTCCTGCTTTAAAGGATCAAAATGTATTATCACATGTTCTCACCAGAGAAGATTTCTATGCACACAGTCTATTGAGGACATTTGTATTTCATTGGGAGGAAAATATTAACATGAACTGTTTGAAGCAAAGCCTTTCTGGAGAATTCTAGTACCAAATACACTCCCCTCCGTGGGCTTGCTTCTCCTTGGACACAGTAATTCAGGACATTTGGAAGGTGCAAACTTGCACGGGTTGGACAGGGACAAAGTGACAAACCAAACCGAGAGACCCAGAGCACAAAGTGCTGTCTAGGCCGGAAGCCCGTAAGTGTGTCTGACAATGGTGGAACGACGATGCTCATAAAGCTTATGGTTTTCCATTCATGGCATTATCATCCCCAGGGGTTCCAGGGAAAGACTAATATTGTACTTGAAAACGTCCCCCTTCCCCCACCCCCATAACAGCACCCGGAAGAGCAGTTGGCATGAAGTGTAACGCTTAGGGTTTATAAAAATCTTAGTGACTATGGCACCCAGGAGCTTTCACGGGTAAACATTGTAACCTCGCTTCTGTCACAGGCACAGGATGCCACGAGGAGCACAGCAGCGTTTTCCTAGGAAGCTGCAGAGCCTGCGAGAGCCAGCGTGAAGGATGGACGTTAACACAAGGTTTTTTCTCTTTGGTTTTCATGGTAGGGGAAACATCGATGAACCGCGGACATGAAATACAACACGAGTACACGAGGCTCCCTCCCGCCAGCGGAGTGAGTTATTGTGGTGTAAGGGGTCACATGAGCCGTGAAAGGTTTCAGATATCATCTCTTCAACTGCTCCTCAGAATCAAAAGGCAACATCATAATCTTTTTTTTTTTTTAATACATAAGAGCTGATGACCCTGTTTTAGAAACCCTGAAGAACTTCAGTATTACAAGATGACACCAAATGGTAATGACTCAAAAGACTAAGGGTGGGAGGGCATGAAGGACTCATCCGAACCTGAGAGAAGGGACACAACCTTTGTTTCAGAGACGCAGAATATTAAACTCCTTGAGCTCTTGGGTACTAAGACCTTGGTTTAGGGTCAGCAAATACAAATATATTTCTGAAGCTAAAGAAAGGGGACACCTATAGAATTTAGCCCCCAAATATTTAAAAATGGGCCAGTGAGCCACTTCTCCTACGTTGCTGTGCAGACTGAGAATGGCATATTGTTACAGAGATCTGAGTACAAGTAGGAAGCTCTTCCGTGTGGGGATTTTCCTCAGTAAACTGGAAGCACTGATCCTGGCTTAGCCTGTGTGTTTCGGATGTGGTGTTTAGCATAGATCAAGGGCTCACTTTCTGTATACTCATCAAAAGCGTCACGCAGAGCCATTTGCTGTTTCTCTGTATAAATAGCTGGTATGCTACACTGGAAAAGACTTATCTTTAAAAATCTCCCTATGAGACATCCGATGAGCACAGAGTGAATTTCGTACCCACACGGGGACACTCGTCCACGCAGGGTGCCACAGCCTTACCCGCATCTTGCTCAGGTTCCTGTAGTCATAGTAACTCTCGTACTGGTCCGCAATCTTCCGGCATAAGATGATGCCGTTCTCCCAACACTGTGGACAGACGAGGAAGACGAAGGCTAAGGATCCTACTGCATTTATGTGCTTCCACCCAGAGGTCAGGCTGTGACTGCTTTCAGATCATCAGGCCTCACTCCTGCATCTTCATAACCTACCTTCAACGGTACCACTGCAGCAGGAAGCATGAAAACAGCATGCAATTCACATAGAAGCTTAAAAGTCTGTAGGAAGCTAGAAATGATAATCCAGTACCACAGCCACTAACATACGGTGCAGAAACCACCTTTTCTTGTATCTTTTCAGAGTCATCCTGAGATAACGACCGTTCCCCAGTGGCCCAGCAGATGAGTAACCAGGCCCTGAGGGCTGAGCAAGGACTGGCCACTGACCCCCTAAAGCCCGGTTATCTTATCCACAGCTGGCACACTGGGTTCCTTGCTTGGCTCGATCGCTCCTGTAAATTGCGAGGGGTCTAATCCAGCTGGTTGCTCTCGGCAGAAATACAAAAATCCCTCGATCTAGCTCAAGCATCAGCAAACTTCTGCAAAAGGCGGGACAGTTAGGCTTTGTGGGCCACAAAGTCTGTGTCACAACTGCTCAACTGTGCCGTCCCAGCACGAAAGCAGCCACAGACGCAAAGAAGCGTGGTGGTGTTCCAATAAAACTGCAATCTACGAGCATCGACGTGTGAATTTCATGTAATTTTCACATCAGATAGTCTTCTTTTGATTTCTTTCAACCATTTAAAAATGTAAAAGCAATTCTCAGGTTGTGGGCTGGACAGAACGAGGCGGGGAGCTGACTGACCCACAGGCCCCAGCTTACAGCCCCTGACCCAGCACTCCTGGGAGAGGACCAGGGACTTTGTGACAGCGC